CGATTGAGGCCAGGATAATGGGGAGGGATAAAGTTTCTGGTTTAGAGTTCAGGACGATAAGCGGTGGCAGTCGTGTGAGGTGGCGGGTGCCCCGATGCGTTCTGGAGGCAAGAATTGGGGACAAGATACAGGAGGGGAAGAAGGGTGCTAGTCAGGAGTTCGAAGCAAGAACTGCAGATAGCAGTAAAGAGGAAAATAAACCAACAGGGCACTACAAAGAGAAGTAGATTAAAACAGACCTGAATTTGTGAATAGAAGAAAAAAAAAAGCAAAATTAAAAAATTAGAGTCTGTAACCAAAAGCAAAAAAAGCAAAAGCAAACAAAAAACTGAGCTTATGCGAGTAGGGTTTGTCTTACAAAAAGGGGGTTTATGCTTAAGAGGTTTATGCTTTATGAGGTATATGCTTAAGTGAAGCTGAGCGCAAATAAGTCCATTTGGATTACACAAGAATTGCAGACATTTCCACAGTGTTGACTCTTGCAGCCTGCAACTGTGCGCAACAGTTATACCTTTTTTTTTATCTTCAAGATTTCACAGGAATTAAGGCTGAATTCATCCCCGGGCATCCATTCTACCCTGTTTTTGCCCACTTCGTGGAACTTATTCGCTCTTATATTTACCTAAGCATCAGTTTCATAAATAGGAAAGTCTGATGACGGATTTTTGTGGGACAGCTTCACCTAAGCATCAGTTTCATAAAAAGGGAAGTTCCAGGAGCACACTTCCTCATCCTTTCCGTTCTTCACCGCTTCCCTCTCGCCACAAATGTACGTTACTTAGTCATTGAGCAAACGATCTACGCCATTTAGTCCTTATGTTCACCTCTTCCCCGCCTCGAACGAAAGCCGCCATATACCACCCCCACTTCCACCTGCCACATTTAAACTGCCGCCATCCGCCGTGGGGCAGCCCGGCCTGCCGTCGGGTGAAAAAATTTTTTGTGGCTTGTGTATGAGACGAGACGAGCCGAGCCAAATAGAAATATGGTCGATTTCGTTGATTTTTTCGTCCGACGCAGGGCAGGTTCGTCTTCGTTTTACATTTTTCTGGAACCAACCCAATGTTGTATAATAGATCAAATAATGGTTAATGGTTTTTGTTAAAAGTAGGTTAAAGGGCGACTGCGTTACTATGATGAAATACCCCTGTCCCTGGTTCAAACTTTGGACACCGTACTGTCGTTAAGCTTTCGCTTCCTTAGTAATCTCTGACCCCTAAGGTATAAAAGCACTTCTCCCCATCGCCGGGAGGACCACAACTTATCACCACTCTCGACTTATTTATTTAGCTTCTATTCCTGCTCTGGGAAGATTCGGCT